GCTGAAGTCCCTGAAACCAATGTTGTTGGCCATGTTGGTCGCTTTAGTAAGTTGCAGCTTAGGAGTAGACCTGTAAATATTTCTGTATTTATTTACTAAATACGACCGCAATGGTCTGTAACTGGTATCAAAGACGGAATAATCCGTCCGGAAAAACAGAACTACCTTTTCAGATGTTCCGTTGTCATGTTCCATTTACTTTCGTTTCCAACCCGATTTTCCGGAAACGTTTTGTAAATGGTAAACAACCGCAGTTTACCATCACCTTTGGGAATAGCTAAGGGAAACACGATAAAATTGGGTTAAATAATTGTCATATTTTTAAATGAAGTGTTCTGTTTGTTGTAAGTCAATGTAGAAAGCTGATAGAACTTCTTTTAGGCTGGTCAGCCCACGGTCTTCAACGTTATTTGAGTGTCCAATCTTTTGGCTAAACCATGACAGACCTTTACTAATCTGAGAAATTTTTGGCTTTTACTAACCTTTTCCTTTACAGAAGGAAGGGAATTAATGTGTTTAAAATTTATTGCCTCTTTGCTTTGTCACAGCCTCATTTGAAGTCACTATAAATGGAAAGCTGGTGTACTCTAAACTGTCCCAAGGAGCATTTCTTGTATTCAAAGAGGTAAATAACGGTTTACTATGTTAAGGTAGAGAGCCTGTACATGGAAGCCATGTCCGATTTCCTTTGCCTTGCACGGAAGAAAAAGGATTGAAGAGACAAGTGAATGAACTTCTGCAATTTCTGTCCGCATTGGTTTGTCTTTCATTTCTTTGTTGAAAGGTAGCTGGTCCTGATAGATTTTACGATTTCAAACAACAACCTACCTTAGCTGAGAAACAAGTTGTTACTAGCATCAGCAGGGGCCGAAGGGGAATAAAATAGACTATCTTCGGAATAATGGCATACCTATTTTTTTTTTTTTTTTTTGGGGGGTGGGTGGGTGGGTGGGTTAATTCACTTTCTTTGTGCGGAATAAGTACATTTTTTTCACTGAATATTTTTGACAAAGTTTTGAGCAGGAGTGACTGAATTAAAAACACCCCATTACTGGTAGTAATGGTACAAAGTAGATTCATTAATATTTATTGTTGTTGTTGTTTTACTAAAGATTGTCAAGGTGGTCCGTGAATGCAGTGAAGGAAAAGAACCTCGAGAAGTGACAGAAAAAGAGCCACATTCTTGCATCTTGATTTAAACTGCAACATTGAAGTGGGATTTTAATCCCTAAATGAAGGCATATAATTTGCTAATTAAGTCATTTTAAATTTACATTTGGCATAAGCCTCAGCAATATTGTTGTAAATGCTGCTTCATATTGCTAATCATCATCAATAAAAAACAAAAGTTAAGAAGACCAAACCTAATTCTTTTCCATGTGGCAACTTTGCTCAAAATTCCATGTGCCTCAAATGCTATTTAGCAGTCTGGGTATCTATTGTTGATGAAAAGTTCACTGTTTATGTTTCTATTATGATAGTCACATCAGAAAAAAATATGATGTTGACTTGAAGTTAAGAAATTATCAGTGTAACAGCAGAAACTGTAAGGATATTCCAGGATGTTGCAAGTTACATGTAGCCTGAATAAACTTTACTCGTTACTATGAACCACTTGTATTTGATATGAAGGTTGTAAGTACAATGAGTTGCTACCCTTTAGAAACTCAACACCCCTTTATAAAGAAGATGGGATATAAGAGAAGCATCAGTTATTGGAAAGTGGGAGGCTGCAACAGAAAGTGTAATGTTATTAGATTAGTGTAGCATTTTCAGTAAAACTCTTTTACATGGCAAGCAATACTACTGAGCAAAAAGGAAATTTCTCAGAGTTGTCACCGTCAGCTATATCCCTGAGCTATCCCTAAGCTGAATTGCATCAGGATAGTAACCCTTTAATATTACCAACTTGTAATTCCAAGGGTCAGTCGACTGATTTTTATGTCATGACTATCGAAGGATACATCACAAGTCATTTTAACAACACAAGTTAATGTCTGCAAATAATGAAGATTTACAAAGATGTCTCTGCGAACTTAGCAAACATTTTCTATGTCAAGGATGCCTTCAGTTTAAACTTAACATGTGTAGAATGTTACGTCATAAACTAAGGCCTGGGAAATGCTTCAAACACAAAACAAAAACACTTTATAATATTGACATTTGCAGAACATTAACAGAAAAGACTTAGCAAAGAACAACACAATTTAGCATAACTTTATTACAATATTAAACTAAACAGTAATTACAGTGGGCACTTTCATGTGCGAGACACTGTTATATTAGTGGTACCGGTATTTTTGATACAAAACTATTACATGTATCTTCAGCTGTATGATATCACATGTACAACCATCTACCTATCAAAGAAATATATCACACTTATTCCCCCACTACATAATTTAATTTTTTTACAATTAGTGTACAATGGCACTGGCATTATAATCACACAGTGATTGTGCACAGCATCAAAAGTTTAGACTTAATTGCAAGGTACATCTCTCAATAATTGACTTCCAGAGTGAAACGGTTATTGAAACACATATGTACAGTCACAAACTGAGACATTTGCATGTGATGTAGTTGGCAAAAGTACACAAAAACCGTCAAATCAACATTGCTCTTAACAGCTAAAGACAATTACCGACTATCATCTTTACTACAGGTAAATGATTATCTTAAAGAATTGCCAGAGTTCAATTTAGACACATAATTGCTGTTCCACAGTGTAAGCCATGAAGATGTAACCTGAATTGTCTGGGCACATCTTGTGATTTGGTCTCACTGTCTCAAAGCCCAAGAACATAAAGGTTCGCATCAGGGTTTCTAAACAAATGCAGAAAAAGAATCAAAGTGAAACTGCGCTGTGAAAAAAAATCTTAAGAACAAAGCACAGCTCATATTATTAAGGTTTATTATTATATATGGTAAAGAAAAGAGAAAATAAAGTAACAAAACATTTAATATAGGGTACCATACCTCTGTCTGCTCTGTCCTTGAGAAGGCCAACAAACACATGCTCACAGCTGAGATTTTCCTCCGCATACTCAAGCAGTGAAACAAAGCTGAAGTAAAAATATATATATTTTTAACTGTTAATCTATTTATGGATAGGTACCCGGGAACCCAAGACATGGCTTGAGAAACACGGGTGACTTACAGTTTGCTCTTGGACGACTAGGAAATCTCTTCATACACTTCATCATTCTCATCCCTAGAGCTACAATCCTTTTGACCAGCACCATGGATTGAGAGCTCTGACTGGTTCTAGGAGGACACACAAGCACAATAACTGCCATTGTTGTAACTGTTTCAAACCGTTTTCGTTTAAAAATTTTTCTGAGGTTGCGCAGAAAGCTAGAAGTCAAAATTTTGTGGACTTTCTGGTTTGGAACTAGCAAGAGCTCAAACTGTGGCACTGGATAAAAGGATCACAGCTCTGGAGATGAGAATGACTCCTTATATACTGGCTGGCATCCTGTACTCTACAACGGAGCCTTGGAAATGACTAGCTAGGAAAGTGTATAATTAGTCAAGTTATAACAATAACATTCCATTCCACATCATTTCCAACTGAAATTTCCATACTTTCTGGTGCAAATACGGCATTTTGTTGCATTTAAAGACTAATCACTAACAAGTTAGAAATACACAGATGATAATTATACCAGGCCTCAGTTGTTCAAAGGCTGGATAGCGCTATCCACTGGATAAATCACTATCCCGTGGATAGTGCAATAAGTTTCCCCAATACTAATCCGCTGGATAGTGATTTATCCAGTGGATAGCACTATCCAACATTTGAACAACCGGGGCCAGGACTTTTTGAGGTCATTCTGATGCTATTTTCAAGGTAAAGTACAGATTATACATGTTATAATACCCATAATAATTATGGGTATTATAACATGTATTATGCAAAATTTTCAATTTATTATGCAAGTTCGCTGGGATAATTATCATCTCAGTGAATTTGCATAATAGTTTAACTGTATTGCTCTTTGGTGTATTTTGAGACTACGCAAGAAAAGTTGTTGTTGAAATTCACAAAGCATATTTCAGATTAGGTATGCACTCTCTCTTCAGGGATACATACAATCAGCTCTCAGACAGACACTGTTGGGAATGGCACCAATAAAATATTGTCCCTCTTTCCAGGGAGGAGTCTTCTTAAAATAAAGGCAATGAAAATGTTTAAAATAAGACAGGGACCAACTCTAGGTGTCGGCCTTATAGAAAATAGTGATGATCAGAGACGCATGGGCAAAGCTTATACATTGAGCAAATGAGTACCCACGTATCATGTAGTAAACCAAGCTATCTCTTTCTCCTTTTACCAGTAATTGTTTGACGGATTCAGAACTTGAACTATGTTTACGAGGCACAATAATTACCATTCTTTACTTCCCACAGGAAGTTCTCCTTCTGGCACTTCTACATAAAGCTGGCCACCCTGTAACACAGCTCTCCACTCTGCTAAGGAGTGATCACCATTCTTAAGGTGAAACTTGTACAGAAATGACTTGAGAACCTGACGGTCATCATCCTTCTCTAATGCTACTTTTGAATCCTAGAAAATGAGTCCACAAAATTTACATTAATACAATAGCCCAGAAAGAGTTGCTTAAACCTGTCATAATGACATTTAGAGCAAATGGAGGTTTCAAACTCCAGCATAGAAAAGTTATTAGCATACACAAGCTTTCGATTCCGTCTCAGAATCTTTTTCAAGTGACAGAGTTTTTTCGCATGATTCACAGTGTATTTTTTAAGCTGTTAAGTTATGTTACAGATCATTCTGAAGGAAAACTAATTTCTGTATTATTTATAAATAATATCTTATGCTCAACCCTACAAGTTAAGACAATACTTACAGCAAATAGCTGAAGGAAGGATATACCATCTTCATCATCACCCCCTCCTCCATCATCTCCCAAAGTTCCTGCCTCATCAAAGCGAACATCAGGTATGCCAGTCCATCCACTGTCGCAGCTTATAGTCACAATACACTGCTGGCTCCCTGGATAATATTATTAGAAATGATACTAATTTAAAAACTTTAGGGAAGCAGTAGATCAAGTAAACTGATATAATAATCTCTGAAGTATGAGTTTGGGAAGACAAAAACCACTGTTATCAAATCTCAGTTGTGTTTTGTGAATTGTTACTTTGTGTGATGAAATCCAGAGTCATTCAAGGATGGAAGGAAGGATCAGGGAAATAGCATGTAGTAGTATAATAAAGATAAAAAAAAGTCTTTTTTACTGTTTTCAATGCAAGCACCCAATCACATTATTATATACCATAAACTGCCATTTACAAGCCCTCCCAATTTTTAAACCCCCCAATAATATTATAGGCCCATTACCCGTTACCAACAATACCTCCAATACAGCATGCAAAGAAAATAGTGTCCGATAGCCCAGGGCTAGTGGATTTTGCTATCGGGCTGGTGAATTCTGTTTTTAACTTGCCCAAAGGGCAAGTGAAGTCTTTTGAGGAATTATTCAAATTACAGAAGAACTGTGAAATCGATTCTGCTCGTCAAAAAGTTTTTGGGGCTAGTTAAAATGACATTCGGGCTAGTAAATACTGGGTTCAACTTGCCTGAATGGTGACCTGTAAAAATGACTTTCTTTGCACCCTGCTCCAATCATAAACCCCACTCTAAATTCAACAAATTATGAAAGTTTGAAGCTTAATTAACAGCCAGTGCAAAATGCAAAACGTATTTTGATAAAGACTTTTATACCTTGTTTTGAGATCTGAGATCTGTTCTGAGATCGTAGCCCAGTTATGCTTAGAAAGCTCCATACAAACCCTTCTAAATTTTTTTGGGGTCAACCCAAAAAAATATTAGAAGGGTTTGTATGGAGTTTTCTGAGTATAACTGGGCTACGATCTCAGAGACAATTTGCCCCAAAATTCTCATTTTTAGCAAGTAGGCCTCTTGGACATTGTTCTTTCAGAATATCCTGAGAAATCCCATAATTTCAGAAATTTCATTTTTATGACGTCATCACTTTAGTACTCTATAACCACGCCATTAGTTCAATGACCACAACAGTAGATCACCGACTGTAGACTGAGATGCATCAGAAATAGCCACAATTACATCAGATTTTTTTTTTGATATATAAATGCCTCACATTAACTAAGTGGTAAATACTCGCTTAACAATGAAATAAAAACCAAACTTAGAAATAGCTATGGCACAACGTTATTTAGTTCTAGTGAGCTCACTAAAGAAAACAGGAACATAAACTGATGGCAATTTAAAATTTAAATATTCGGGTCAGAAGGTCTGTCATTCTCTAACAGCTGGCTATTTTTTCGGGCCCGAAAAAATAGGGTGCTTCGAGAAATGCAACTTTGGGCCCAATAAAGTTTCCCAATAACGGTTCTGACAAGTTAACGGGCAAGTAAATTACCAGGACTTTGGAGAAACGGGCCCCAGGGCTTATAAGCGGCAGTTTACACCATATAGAAATAATAGGCAAAAGCCAAATCAGGTCTTGCTAACCAATCCGTGTGCAGTCCACATGTAACACAAATTTCAACAAATTTATTAACCTCAAATTTCCTCGGCCCTTTGGGGGCTTGCTTCACGAGGATAAGCAAACACTTCTCGTATCTAAGAAAGTTCAATATATTGCAAATGAAGTTTAAAGATTTAATCACCATCAAGTAAAAAGGTCCTCAACAAAATCTTGTAACCACAGAGAACAAAGTAAATTTGACATTTATGCAAAGAATGGTTCACACACAACTAATTCTCGTGTTGTGACATTAGTTTAAACGAAAATCCATTCATTGATTTTACCAATTTACAAAATATTCAGAGTTTAGCAGTGCAGTGCCTAGCGACAATTTTACTCCACCAATATAATGGCAAATATTGAAAGAAATTTGAAAAGCAGTTCTAGGTTAAGCAAAATCAATGGCAGGTGCTTCTGCAAAATAGAATATACATTGTATTGGTGCTGCAAATAAGCTTGTGCAAACTAAAATATTCAAAGGGAATTGAGTGTAACAGTTGCATAAAAAAATATATATATAGCTTTCATGGCTGGAGCCTACGTTTAACATATCTTATGGTTACTCTATGATTTTTAGTTACTACAAATATTGTGCATCTTCCACTACGATTAAAGTGGAGGAAAAGGACGTTAAAAACAACTGCGGTCAATGACATGACGGCCAATCGCCTTTTGACTAAGTAGCGTTAAATAAATACGTACAGGGCTGCTTGGTGAATTTCCCTGGATTATTTTGATTTGGATTGTGATTTTCCTTTTTCTTGTGCGGCGAAATTGTTAACAAGTCGCTGCCGAAGCAGACTACTGACAGTAAAGGCAGCTATAGACAGGATAAAGCGAGGAAAAATCCACCAACGACAGCTCCAATCTCCTCCTGACCGCAGGAAAAACATGGAAGACGTGAAGTCCGCTTTCTTGTAGCATGCTTTGCGCGCCTATTTAGCACCCAAGGCACTGAGTA